ATATATGTCGGTCACGTGTCGGATCGGGTGTCGTGCGACGAGTTTATATGTGTTGCGGGTTGCCTATATTGAGTAATTAATACAAGTTTGGGAGGTGCGCGCACTTCGAATTGCCTATACAGAAGTGTCTATGTTTTTACATGTAAAATTTAAGGGGGAGGTGCTCCAGAACATACATAATCATCCTACTTATTTAGCATGAATTTGCACGATAGACCCTGATATTCGCACGTGTCTGGTACGCGAGCAAAACCCGTTTTTTTCGCGCGTCACGCCAGCATAGCCCAAAATGGAAATTTTGCGAAAATCAAAAAACTATATTAAGCTATATTTAGCACGGAATTCGCACGTATTCCCAAGCCTGGTTTTGAAATTCGCACGACCCTCCTTCCCCCGAAAAATCAAAATTCATAGGTGGCAGGGGGGGCAGTAATACGTCGTATATTAAATATAAATTTTTTTAATGAAAATACATTTTTATTCGAATAAGCTTTTTTTGTTAATTACCTAAATATTTTTATTCATATTACATTTAATCAAATTAATTTTTTTATTACATACAGTATTTTATATTGAACTATGATTTTTTATTGAATTTTTTTTTACTAAATATCAAATTTAGATCGTGTCAGGGTGCCATTTTTTTTATGTCCAATAATATAAATCTTATTTGAATAAAAAAGCTAAGAGAGGACGTGTCACCCAAAAAAATCACTCGAAAAATTCCTTTAAAAACATGTTTGCGCGTTCCAATAATATGGGTTACTGAGTGGTTTTATCATAAAAACACCTATGAACAAAATTGTAGAGGAGAATTTTATCTGGTTCCGTATGAAGCCCGATTTTTGAAATTTTCATTTCTAAGTCCTAAAATTAACTTCCGGAAAATGAAAAAAAAGTGTATTATTAATCATGATATATTTCATGATGTTTTAAAGATATCAAAAATCGGGCTTCTTACGGAACCAGATAAAATTCTCCTCTACAATTTTGTTCGTAGGTGTTTTTACGATTAAACCACTCAGTAACCCATATTATTGGAACGCGCAAAGTATGTTTTATAAGAAAACTGCAGAAAATTACGCTCGGCAAGTGCTGCGCCCGTAGTCAGTGGCAGCGTTCGATACTAGCTGTGCATACCACCACCCCGCGCGCATTAACGGCGGTACCGCACCCTGGTCAAAACAGGTTCTCTATCGCAGCCGACCGCCCGTGCATAGTTTATAAATAACCAGATAAGAAAATGATTATTATATTTGTGACAAATAATATTTAATTTGGTTCGATTTTATATTTTGTATTCGTATCCGAATTTTATACAAATAAAAACTATACTTTTGTTCTTCAAGTAGGTAATAGTGTAATACGGCTTATTGAAGCGGTTTGCAATAAAAATACCTATTATAAAAATTGTAGAGGAGAATTTTTTTAACAATCGTAAGGAATCCGATTTTTGATATCGTATTCCAATCGTCCAATATCGCATGGTAAATTAACATTTTTTTTTTTTACTTTTTATCGATTAATTATTTAACTTATTAATAAAAATATAAAAAATCGAGCTTATTTCAATTGTTGAAAAAATTCTTCTCTAAAACTTTTATAATAGGTAGTTTTGCTGTAAACTATTTAAATAGGCCGTATTACTTGAATTATCGAACAATTTGGGTATGATAAAAAAAAGAAATAGGTAGGTACTCAAAAAACCATTTATAACAATTAACAGAAATCATTCAATGTAGACAATCTAAGCCACAACCAGGTAAAGTGGTACATATTATAAATTGAATATAATTTGCGAAAGGATATTTTAAATAGTCCATACCATATATTTGGCAAACGCCAAACACTCTAATTGTGCCCGATATTTTTGCACTGGAAGAAAGTTTTACGAACTGAATTTGATCGACGAAGTAATGCAAAGTGGTTTGATGAAAGAAATGACAACTGCACTTAGACGTGTTGCTGATAATGCAAAAAGTTTATTACTTGATGTTGATAACAACATCTGCGAACAGTTTAATAGTGTCATTAATATAAGCACATAGGCGGTAAACGAATTAATATTTCTCAAAAACAGTCGTACACCACTAGAATATATACTGCTGTACTGCTGTAGTATCATTTAATACAGGTGGCAATTATATACGAGAGCTTCACAAAAAGATAACAACCAAAAGTCCAGGTACATTATTTAAAAAGTACCTACAGTGAGTTTAATTAATTAATTTTAATTTTAAAATATTATTATGGCATGAATTAGAATTTAATTGAAATTTTGAGTTTTTTACAACAACGCTTTCAAATTAAAATTAAATAAATACTACCAAAACTTATATTTCACATTTCACATTTTTATATTTTGGTATATCGTATTAGCTATGAGTAAATTAAAAATTGAAATAATTTGTATATTAAAGGTGTATAGGCACAATAATAAAATAAATAAAATATTTCATTACGAATTATTTTTCAGTATTTATAATGTATGAATAGTATTAATTTATTATTATTATTATTATGTGGGTAATTGTTTTAATATTATTATATGTGTATAGGAATCATAGCCAAAAATTTTTTGAAGCATACGCAGGGCCGGTTTTAAGGGGTGGCAAAATTATCTCAGATAAAATAAACAAAAAAATTAATTTTTTATGTAAAGAGAAAGATTTCTAAAAAATGATACATTTTATTACTATTTATTTTTTAAATTCACATATGCATACGTTTTTTTTTACCTATATTTTATCATTTTAAATAAAGAAAAATAAACGTTATTAACTAAGTAGGTAGGTACCTACTAGGTATCATGGAAGATTCTAGGTAGATAGTACCTAAGACCTAAGTTATAAATTAGTTACTTATGTTTTTTTGTATAGTTGTTTTTTTGTCTTATTCTGTGGTTTACCTACTATTAAAAATCTAATATTGGAATGCATAGGTACCTAGATAAAATTGCTAAAAATTAACTGCAAATTAAATTTCAATGAGAAAGGGAAACATAAAAAAGGTGGGCAAGTGGCCAGTGGGTGTCGCTCTGCTGTACAGTTGGTTACAAGTCTGTCACTGTATAATGGATAGTATTAAATTTGAATTCAATGATATAATATCATTGTATAAGAAAAACGATTCTGAGCGGAGATGGTATGTCAGTCTAGGTATAAGACATAATATTGTATACATATCTATGGTATTAGAAAAAAAATTGACCTATAATAGGTAGTAGGTACCTATAATAAATTCCAAATTAATCATATCACAATATCCATTAGGTGCTGATAACGCGTTATACATCAACAACATACCGTGATACTATCATAGATATATAATAGCACACTTTAGAAGTTTCAAGTACTCACGAATAACATTATTCAATCACAATAAAATAACTAAAATAGTTATTCTAGGTTTTTTAATATGTAATTTCGTCCAAATTTGAATTTAAAATGTCTGTAAAAAATAACTGTGTTCATATATTTTTTATATTTTTTGGTTACAGTATGAACTATTTATGAGAACCTTTGTTTTAAATTTGCAATCCTTAGCTATAAAAACTGAACATTTTATAATTTATTAATTACAATGATTTATAATTTTCGAGATTTTGATAAATTTTGTCAAAATTCGATCTTTAAATGCTTATAAAAAAAAACTGTGCCTATGTATTTTTAATATTTTTCAACTGCTCTTGTAACAATATATCAGGAGACTTGTATTAATTTTTTACACTTTTTGGCCCAATAGAAAACCAAAAATATTTTTAAAATTTTTTTTTTTATATATAGATTTGTTTTAATGACTTGGGATTTTTAATTTTTTTTATTTATTAATTTTATTTTTTTAATTCAAATTGCATTTATATTAAAATTCAATTTTTTTATAAAATATTGATTTTCTTCTATTAAACTTAGCTTTTTTATTCAAATAAGATTTATATTATTGGACATAAAAAAATGGCACCCTGACACGATCTATATTTGATATTTATTAAAAAAAATTTCAATAAAAAATCATAGTTCAATATTAAATACTGTATGTAATAAAAAAATTAATTTGATTAAATGTAATATGAATAAAAATATAAAATTAACAAAAAAAGCTTATTCGAATAAAAATTTATTTTCATTAAAAAAATTTATATTTAATATACGACGTATTGCTGCCCCCCTCCCACCTATGAATTTTGATTTTTCGGGGAAGGAGGGTCGTGTGAATTTCAAAACCATGCTTGGGAATACGTGCGAATTCCGTGCTAAATATAGCTTAATATAGTTGTTTGATTTTCGCAAAATTTCCATTTTGGGCTATGCTGGCGTGACGCGCGAAAAAAACGGGTTTTGCTCGCGTACCAGACACGTGCGAATATCAGGGTCTATCGTGCAAATGCATGCTAAATATTGGCGTAGAAACGATTTTGAATTTCCAAGAATTTCCCAAAGTGGGGGGCTGGGGACACGTGCAAATCATAAAAATTAATATTGCGAAGCAACGGATTACGATAGAGTTTCGGGGTCTGTCGTGCAAATTCATGCTAATTACATGCTAATTATTTGCAAAAAAAAAATTGGAAAATTTTAATGTGGGGGGCCTGGATACACGTACGTAAATGGATGTGCGTTCATTCCGATCTCGAAACGATCTAATAACGGCCGCGAAAGGGTTCTTTCATAAGTTTTCTGGCCTTTTCGTGGAAAATTTTGAGGTCCTGCAGTCATCAAAAAAACCGTTGGGTTAGTAATATACATTTTATACATAAATACATAGTTCTGCTGTCATAAGCTATGACTATGTCGTACAAAAATTACTAGGAGGAAAAGAAGTACCTTCAGATCACATACGACTTTTTGTTCTAGTATTTGGACATTCGGTGCAAATTTGCTTCCTATCTAAATAATTTGATGTACCCTCAGACTTACCCACAGGGTTCTTTGTAATTTTTAAATCTATCTGTAACCATTATTTTTTTAAGGAAATCGATAATGAATTAAAATATCCATCGATGGACATCCAAAACTAGATATTTACAAATATGGAGTTACGACACTATAGTGGCTTATGACAGCAGAATTAATAACAAAAGTTGTTGGTCAAGATGATATCCGATAGATCACTCCATAATTTTTCTTTAGCGTTTAACGTTTGAATAAATATAATACCTGCAAGCAGCAGCTATGTATTTAATACTATAAAATATAATTTAAACCATAACTTTTAATAGAAAAGTTAAATTTATTATATTCAAGCGACATATTTTATATAATTTTATTTTTTAATAATTAATATCTGTAAATAAAGATTTATTTGTTATATTATAATAGGTTTAAAAGATACGAGGCCTGTGATTTAAAATTTGTAATAATTTAATGATATTATTATATTAACATAATATTGTAATTTGGAAAAATTGTCCAAGTTTAAAAAGGACTTATAGGTAAAATAAACTAAATATCATATATATTTTATATTTTATATTCTTGTACCTAATAGGTACCGGTACCTATTCTATATTTTATATTCATAGTACCTACGAAAAGTTTAGTAGGTATCTCAAAAACTACTCTTTCGAATTTATTTTTGATGCATCGTGAAAAAAGTTTCTGTTGTTTGATAAACAAGAAGTTTTACCTATAGCCATAGGAGATTCCTATATGGTACTTTTAAAAAAATCTAAGTATTTCTAAACGCCTATTATTTATTAATATACCTACATCCAAATTAAAAACAAAAATTCTGATAAATTTATTATTTAAGGATTTTTTTGGTGAATCGCGCTGTTATACTTAAATTAAAACGCAGTAGAATATTAAAATTAATGTACGCTTATACTATTATTTAACTATTATATAACTATATACGGTTCAAAAGTAAAAATTAAAAATTATTCAAATTGAAAATTGGGGGACAATATTTTCATAGCGAACGATGTACCTATGACCATATTATCTCCATTAAGACTCTGGTTTGTAAGCATATCCTGTTCACGATCAACCATATTGTTAGAGCAACAATAATATATACGTTGCTATTATTAATTCAACGGGATAACTTACTTGAAGGTTGTTTATATTCATCTGAGTCAATGAGTTTAACTGATCGTCGATTAATTTCCTTTGTAAGTGTGATTGTGGCAGGTGTAGTCCGAGTTTTTTGTTATGTTCTTTCCGTTTTTGTTTTAAATTTCTCCCGTGTTTATGATAATCAAAAACCCAACTTTCTCCGAATTCCAGTTCCCTGAATTTTATACCCAATCGTTCAGCTTCTGACGGAATATTGTAGCAACTAATGTTTTCAAATTCCACGACATACGGCCGTAAATAGTGTTTTTTCGGCTTTTATTGTACAATAATTCATTTCAATATACATTCAAAAACAACTGACAATACCCATTATAAGTATTATCTTACCTTTTCCTTGTTGATTTCAAGGAATCTTTCTGCCCTTAGCCTTTGGGCAACGACGGGATGCTTTAGGACAGATTTATTTGCTATTTCCGGACGCACTTTGTTTTTTAACACCAATTTCAATTCAAAGTCTTTTGCTAGTTTCTACAATAATATATGTTTAAGCGTAAAATATATATTCATATTACATGATATGGGTAAGTGTTAAAGTATACAGTATCCTCAAAAAAACTACTTCGGAAAAGTAAAAAAGGCTTTCTGTGCGTAAGTTGAAGAGATTGGGAGAAAAGATAGAACTTTGGTGTTAAAAAAGATGTGAAATCAATCTCAAAGTTCTGTGCCAAAAACGGTTGAAAAAATATAATTTGGGGCTTAATAAAGAAGTGAAATCAATACCCAAATTATGCGCCTCAACTTGAAAAAATATCTTATTCAAAAAAATTTCGAGATGTTCAACTGTACAAACATTAAAAAAAAATATTAGCACAGAACGGCGTGAATTACAGTTTGTCAACAAAAATTCGAATCAGACAGATTAACTCGTAAACAAGTCGACAATTTAGGCTAATTTTATTAATTCATCATTATTGTACGCCGTTCTGTGCTAAAATTTTTGTGGCGGTTGCTACGGCGCGGCGTTGGAAGGGGAAGTTTGGGCGGCCGCATCTCGCTGTATGACGGACGAAAGAAAAAGACTCACAAAACTGCAGTTTTTAGCTCTGTCTCTCTCGCACTCTGCATTCAACCAACGCGTGCGAGTGAGAGGTCCGAGCGCCGAAACGAAACTTAATGTATAATAGTCTCGCTATCGGTTGTCAAGGTGCTGTTTCTTATCGGTGTTACTTATGCACAGAAAGGAGTCTCTAGCGAGACTCTTCGATATATTATTATGATCATAACAAAATTGATATATATATAATATATGATTTACCATATTTTCTTTCATTTGTCTCACATTCTCTCGCACATAGTTTTTATTCATTTCCAAACCTAATTGTATCATGTCATTTCGATTTTTGATTTTTATTATGCCATTCGGAGCTAGTTGGCATAAATATTTGTCTATTTTTCCATACCTATACAATATTGGTGTAAATAGTAACAGATTTTTATTTTTATTTAAAATATGTTAGGTATGTAGATTTATAATTAAATATTTGAGATTACCATCCTAATTCCAGAATATTTTCCTCGTCTATTGGATTTTTTTTGATTGGCATTTTCTTCATGGCACTAAAACTGATCTAAGCTGAGAAAAATTCTTGAAATTCTGATTTTAAAATCTTCAAAAATATAATAATATTATTTTTAAATGTAATATTGATTGAAAAAATCGTTATAGAAACAATATAAGCAAATACAAATATACCTTACTTAAAATATTTTTATATTACATTTTCTCAGCTGTAGACACATCAATTTCGTATCGTATCTAAAATATTAAAATTTTAGAATTTACCAAAGTATAAAAGCTCCAATACTATGATAGAACAATAGTTTAACAAAAGTGCGTTGTGCCCAAAAAATAAATATTTATAAAACGTTTTACTCGACCATTATATTTACATTAAATATTATAACATTATCGTATAATTTTCACGTGGTAAACCATGGTGCATTATACCAAAACGGCATTAGACCTAATCACCATACAATATGTGACAAGCATTTACGAAATAATATTATAATACAATTTAAGTTTGTGTATTTCTAGTTTGACAGACAAATGACAGTAAAAGAAACACATCATCGTCGGACAAGGGCTCGAAACAAGACGGAAATGTAGGTACCTACACTCGTTCACGATATACTTACCTGCACTATAAAGTTGTACACTTTGAAAACCTTTTTGACACAGTCTCCTCAGTAATAGGTATTTACTCGCCAATAACAGTGCAAGTGGAAAACAAACACACTATAGTGTATTGCCAAGGTATTTTTTAAATGCATTTCAGTTAAGTACTATTATATTATACTCCACCGGAAAATAATTTAAATGATTTGTTATTTTATTTTAATATTGAACACAAAATATATTTTTAAATAATTACTTGTCTTCTGAAAGCTCTTCGTGGCACATTGGCACATTGTTTTTTGTTTTTGTTTTTGAAACAATAATAATATATTGAAATACACGTTTATAAAAACATATTAACATGCAATTATTGATAAATAGGTATTTTCTAATACAGAAATGGATCGGCGCCGAAAACATAAGAAAAAGCTAAAAGATTTCGGTAGAGAGTATTTTCTAGACATTTCCGTCAACGCGTTAAAACACATAATACGAGCCAAAAACGTCGGCGAACGGTAAGTATTTAAAATAAATATATTACTCGCTTATAAAATCTGTAAAACAGATTTCACAGAAATTACCTTCATTAGGTTTGTTATAATTGTATTATTATAGTGTATACAGATGTCAGATAGTATCTTCCAAATAAACACTGATTCTCTAAGTAAATTTAATATTTTAGATAATATAAGGTATCTAATATATTCTTATTTGGTACAGCACAAATGAGTTGACGTATGAGTCACTCACAATAATATAATATTTTATAATATACAATATCTTAATAGCCATAACAAACACCATAAACTTGAAATTTGGAAGTGGTTTAAAGCTAAAATAGTTAAGTAGGTGTTACAAAACAAGATTTTCAAGGAAGTAGTGATTAAATAATTATTTAAAAAAAATATACTTATAGACAAAAAATGTTTTCTAGTTACTATATTAATATACAATTAAAATTCATACATTTTAGCTATTGAATAACGAATGCTTATTGGGTATTTTAAGTCTGAAACAAGTAACGACTTACTCGACTACCAATCTGGATAAACTCGTTCTTTTAAAATTCCTACCTAAATATAATATTTTGTTGTATATTATATCTGTATAACCGAATGGATACGATTATACGAATATAAGATGAGATCCTTAACTAAAGTATTAAACTTCTACTAAAACTTAGTAAGAAGTACAACCATTTTTAATACAAATTTGTTTTTTAATATTTTGTAAGAATTATAAAAAAAAGGATACAAATTATAAAATTGTTTAGAAATAACGAATTAGAAAAAAATTTTAAAACTATTTTCATCTCGGTCAATTCAATATTTATGTTTGAGCTCCAGTGAAGAGTGATGGGTTAGTTATTATTTTGAACCATTTGATGAAAATCTCATCAAATAATTTTTGAAAATATTGTCCACAAAAAATACGATATAGAATATGCGAAATAAAAAAAAAATTCGTGGTTGAACTGGTTTAAAATTATTATACAAACCATTTTAACCTAACATATATGTTTAATTATAAACAGGTAACACGTTATCTATAATAATTTAATATACTTGTCTTCAACTCTTTATGGCATGGTCAGTACCGGCTTTAGTCAATATTGGCCATAAGTGTATAACTAGGGCTAGGATTTGATAACAAAATATTAAAAAATATAATTTATTTTCTAAAAATGTTGTTTTGTAGCGACTTATAACCATTATAAGAAGTATATATTCAAAAACTTTGGTGTTTTCTAAAATAATGAGTATCTTACGTTAAAATATTATCTTTCTATCACACTCCATGCCAAAATAACATTTGCTACGAAATCCTAGCCTTACAGACATAATAACAATATTAACAGTCGCATTTTTCGCATCGAATAAATATTATACAAACAGACGATTTTGGCTGGTGATGTTCACACTCGCATTGTTCGGCACCGGATTCTGCGTCTTGGAAGTTTGGAAAGTTTACGAGTCCAGTTTTACAAAAACCATTATATTGTCCACTTCGTATTTGTACTCCGAGGCGCCGTTTCCGTCGGTGACCATTTGCGAACCGAGCAGAGTGTACGGTAAAGTGATCAAAGCCTTGTAAGTGTTCAGCATGACAGTATAAAATAATATAAAATGGATTATAATATATTATTTTAACAAAATTTAAAAAAATGTCTTGTTGTTGCGTTTCGAGGTATGACAACTCTTCCGGCCGGCCGGGTTCGTATGACGAAGCAGTGTTCAAAATAATGGCGACGTTGTCCACGATCCGTTTACCGCTATTCGAAGATTTTGTCAAAATAAAAAAATTCGAAAAATACTACGACGAACTCAACAAACTCAACATCAGCGACATGCTACTGAAGGTGATGTTTATTTATAATAAGTGGTATAATATTATATAATAGTATTCGAGGTCGTAGACACCGGAGGGTTCAAACCTTCCTCACAACATAAAAAGTAATTAAATGTATTTACAAACATTTAAAACTACTAACATATATTTAAGATTTTATCCTCGGTATTTTAAATTCTTGTCTACTGTAATGATGGCAGCAGTACATAATTATAATATCTGTGTTATATACGCACATCAAAAAATCGTGTGGTCTCGTGATCGTTGACTCGGAGAGTCTGTAACCACCCTTCTCTCCTCTAAAAAAATCAAGGAATGTATACACTGAATATAGATACATCGGTACACGTATATGCCTTCTAAGTTTAATAATATATTCATCGATGGGTCCGGAATCCAAAAAAGTATAAAGAGGTTGCTATGGTAAATGAATCATTTTAATCATTGGTTGCTAGGGACAACCTATAGGAACTTGACAACATTAATTTCATCATTGTTATTGTTTGGTTGTCATGACAACTGTGACGTGTAATCGGTCAGAAAAATACAATAATATTTTAGGCTCCCAGCTTCAACACGACGACGTCACGGTAACGCTTTCACTAACACTTACCTTACACTTTACCAGTTCACCACTGGTTGTATACATAAAATAAATAAATAATATTACAGTGTTATGAACAATGTACATGTATGAAGAATAAAATTTCATAATAATAACAATTTTAAATAATTTAAAAAAACAGTATTGGTTAGTCCATAAACTAAGTACCTAGTACCTTTTAAAAATAAATAAATAGTCTACATGGTGCAATCTAACATCCAAACATGTATTTATAAATAATAAGTTCCATTTATATTGGTCTTCGTGATTGTTAAAGAGATTTTTACTTACACATAATCATTCCTTAAAAACCATTTTGGTACTATTGTAAATATGTCTTCTTATTTTTTGTGTATAAATCATTTTTAGTTGGTGCTATATAACTTATAAGTAATAATACATTTAAACGAATTGTAGTGGTAGTACCAAAGATACAAATAAGGAGATTTATAGACAATGGGGGGGGGCATAATCCCTATCCCCCCTGGGAACGCCACTGTAAACCTTCCTAAACAACACCAATAATTGTATTGTATTGTTGTGTAGGCGGTCCGTCCGTGCGATACCATATTCGACTCTCCGTGCTGGTGGCGTAATAATTACTACAACTGTTGTGAACTCTTCGAACTCCAGAAAACCTGCTACGGTTACTGTTACAGTTTCAACTCAGACGTATCCGAATTCAGTAAACGGTATGGTAGAATTGGTATATTAATATGACGTATTGTTATCGGCGTGGAGGTGTCGACAGTGTTGGGAATAGATATAACAGCTATTAATTTATCCAGAAAAAGATGACAGTACGTCAGTACTACATTTTATATAGATAAAGATAAAAATTAATACATTTTTACCTAGATAAATATCAGATAAATTCGTGTTTAGAATTGATGATATTCAAATTTTAACGCGATAATGTACTCATGTAGTCAATATTCATATTATTATGTTATTCAATAATAATTATTAATTAAGATTTATATCAAATCTATTGCAAGTGTTATGTGTCTTAAGTTATAACTAAAAAGGAAAGATTCAACTGATATTGCAACATTTTTTTTTGTCAACAGATATCTCTAAACTGACCATATATGTTCCTATTTAATTTCATGCTGCAACTTATTGCAATTTTCTACGTTTATAAAACTTTTTCCAATTATTTTGGGGTTTTATGAATTTTCAACATTAAATTATTACTGACCAATTTATAAATAAAAATTCCTTTGTTCATTTTTACAATTGATTCTTTTATCATTGAACACTCATTATTTCTCATTAAGTATTAATGTTTTTGAAAATAATTTTTTTTATAGTTTCAAGTTGTCAAAAAACAACGTTTTTAAATATTTTTTATCCTTACAATTTTTGAAGTTTTTTACTTTTTTGAATGACAACATAGAGTTTTAATTTCATATTCCAAAGCAGAATATTTTTCTAAGTATTTTGAAGCATAAAAATCGAATTTAGGACCT